ATATTATTTTTATATTTGATAATATTATTTAATATACATTTTTTTTAAATATTATGACAATAATCATCTTTTGTGTATGAATTCTAAAAATGATGTCGATATTTTGCTTATTATATTCAGATTTTTTTGAACTCTTTTTCCACAACTTTAAAACAAATTTAAAAAGATCTTTTTTTCTTTTTTTATATCGACTATTTATTAGTTAAAAAATACCTTTTAATATATTTTAATATACTAGATAATTTGATTTTTCACAGTTCAGGTTATATAAAAAAGTCTTTACTAGATATATTTATAGAATATTTCTTTAAAGGGGAATTATTATATTTGGCGAAGTAAAAAATAAAATATTTTTAATATTATGAAATATTTTTAAAACAAGTGCAAAGATAAAGCCTATTTTTTATTTTAGATAATTTATCGATGCTGATTCTTGGCCATCGTGCAGGCGCACACGATTAATTAGAATGCTATTTTTGTTCTTCTAATTTTGTAATTTTTTATCTTGGTTTCAGTATTAAAACATACACATTTTTACGAAAAAAAATTATTCTATTTTTCATTAAAAAAATTAAATATATGCTGATATCCTTTATTATCGTTTAAATCTGATTATGTTAAATTTATTAGACGTAATATTATATTGAGCAATTATAAATAAATGTCTCGATTAATTTTATTTGGATGATATGAGATTCTTTCAAATATCGGGGGAAAAATTATAGATTGCAAAAAGTGCATTTTATACAATCGTTGTCAAGAGACAACATACATACAGGGCGTGTCGGAATAAAGGTATTTGGAGCGTGATAGGGCTAGGCACTCTGGCGCACCCAAGATAAACAAAATACGATCCTCGTCATCATACGTCCGATTCACATGCGTGACACGCATCGTTCGTTTCGCAGCTCGCCTGATGGCTAAACGATCGTCGCGTCATGAACTGAATTAATTGAACAGCGTTCGATTACAGCTCAAGAAATTATCGAAGCATATATCTCAATAACAAATTTAGATTTAATTTCTTTGACTCTAAATGTTAGTATAATTTTGCTTTAATTTGTTTTAATTAAAAATATTATTGAAAACGCAATGAATAAATTATAATAAATTTTAATGAGGGAAAATATTTTTTGTAACATAAAAGATCAGACTTTTAGACGATCGCATTTAAATGTGAAATTAATCTGAAAAAGAAACACGGCCGTAATATAATTAGCATTTTTGTAACTGACAATCATTATCGTTGACAGAGGTGATTGAATGGTTATCATGTGACCGTGGCAAGAGATGCGGGTAACCGATCAAGTTGAAAATCCGTTTAATCCAGAAAAATTGAGGCTAATGAAAGTTCGAGTTTAGCTTATAAGACGTGTCCAACACTATGGCTAAATGTGATAGAACTTTCAGGATCAATAAAAGGACTTTCGCTCAGGGTAGCACGCTTCTAAACAAAAAATCTCAAATTTACGACACGAATAACTATATTTCTAACGACGATGCTAACTATTATTATATAAAGTACTTTACAATTAGTGATCTATTAATTATTAATAATATGGACTCGTTAATTGCATTTTAGATTAATTTTAAATAAAATGTCGAAGCTTTGATATTTTTCGATATTATAATATTTTCCATTATAAACATAATTTATCATTAAATCTGATATTTTATAAATGATCAGAGTTTCTAGCAAATTGATCTTTCCAGATTAATTGTACTTAATAGATTTTTAATATGCTACTTAATTGTTTGCAAAGATACATAATGTTTAAAATTATCATTAGAAAATTTGAAGCGTTAGAATTCGCAGGAAAATGTATTAAATTATACGATCTATGCTTTCAATTTGCCAGGGAATCTAACGTTCATGGGAATTAAGATCGTGTTGTGAAACGTTCTGTACATAATCGATGAATGTCACGACACAGGCAAGGAAATATCTCCGAATTGAAACTTCGTATATGAAAACTCGGTTAAATACACGGTTTTAATCGAGCAAAATAGAATCAATAGACTAAAATAATAGAAGCGATATCACGAAACCATCATCGCAATATCAATCTCTTTAACGAATTTCTATCAATGCCGCAACCTATTCTGCTTGGCAAATAAGTTTCGAAATTTCATCCAGTAAAGTTTAACAAGTTTCACATTGTATCGAATCTACCTAAAAATAAAAAAGAGAGTCTTTATATATATTTCAAAAATTACATTTATTATTAGTTTTTTTTTCTCCTGGTCCGATTTTATCCAATTAATTTAAAAGAGACTTTAATACATTTCCGTATAATACTTAGTCGATATAATATTAAAAATTCTTTTGTTTTTCTTCATATAATTTTATATCTAGAATGATTGAAAAATGTATATTTTTTGCAAAGTTATATTTAACTCCAAGTAATTGAGTCCAATTTGTAAAATTAAACATTTTTATGTGATTAATCCGAAAAAAATATTTGAGATCAAATCTAGATTTTTTTGCGTATATCATAATTTTTTTTTTTTGTAGTATAATTTTTCTTATAAAATAATTTGATATGATTTTAAGTAAGTAGTAAAATAAGCAGAAAAACATACAATATTTTTCTTTTAAATATAATTTTGTATATATCATTTTTTTTTAATATACAACTTTTATTTCTTTCAAAAAAAATTTTATTTGATATATATTTTATGCTTTCTAATAAAACGCACAAAGAAACCACATCGACAGGAACCGACAGGAGCGTGTCTTTCTACCTTAGGATCGGAACGCGAAATAAAGAGTCTCGTCAGGATCAATAGCGTACGTGAGGGGACCCACTGAGCCTTCCTTACGAGTTCGCCACCATAAAGCAACCCGTACGCACCGCACGTCTCGGATCCCGTCGTGGCCAGGTGTCCGCACCAGCATGCGTGCCGCATATACCTGCATTTTTTTGCGTCTGTGATCGTCCCCATCGACCTACGGAGACCTACCTACGCTGCCTACTATTCACCAGTTTTTATTTGCAGGTATAGAGCCAACGGCTGAATGAGAAAGGTACGCACGCGTGTGCGTGCATCGTAAAAGCACCGGCATTGACCGTTGACAATACACGAGGTGGTCCACCTACAAAATTACCAATTATTTTATCTTTAAATTACGCTTCTTACATGCAACACCTGGAAAGGAAAATTTTCTTGTTGGATTTTTATGTATTATTAAATTCGCACAGTTAATATTTTAAAATAATAATATATAATCACTGTTTATATATATGTATATTTTTTAAAGTAATTAATAAATTTTCCTATATATATATCGCGTATTTATTCCATCACGTTATATAGATTCCAAAAACTTTAAAATTAGAAAAATTAAATAAAAACACTTATAATACATTAAATTAAATAGAAACACTTATAATAAACTAAATTAAATAAACAAATTAATTTATTTAAATATAGTTTAAAAAAATAATTATTGAACTCTATTATTGACATTCCATCAATAAAATAAAAAAACGAACATTCTGCGTCACATAGTTAAATGCTGCCATTAAATTCTTGTTCGCTAAAGTCGAATTTGCAAGAGAACACCAGTGCCTTTCTCGTTTACATTATTTCGCAGGCACAATGAGATGCTATTTTAGTAGCACGTACGTGCTTTTCTCTCTTTCTCGATACAAATCACCCCGATTTCGCGATATTACACTAGCCTAATAGACTCTCGTAACTTACAAAGATATTAAAGTCAGAATCCAATCCATTTGTCAGTTTAGATCGAGCAAGATTAACAGAAAAATCTATTTTCTAAAAGCTAAACAGCATAAAATGATGGATTAATATAAACAAAGTAGAAAATATTAAAATATTTTTTGAAATATAATTACAATTATATTACATTAATAGTATCAAAATAATTATACACATATATTTTAGTTCTCTTTTTTCTGCTTAAAAAAAAATTATATTATATTCTAATAATATCACTTATAAATTAAATTATACTTATAATATTACTATTTCTTTTTTATTTCAAATATCTTATACGTTTGAATAGACGTTTATATGATCTTAATAAGATATGTAATATTATTTGCATAAATATTCATTTAAAAATGAAACTTGGCAGTGATAAAGCTTACATATGATGAAAGCAGGATTTACATCATATTTCACAGATGAAAATGCATCAAGTGGTCTCGAACAAAACAGGAAATTCAGAAACGTAATTATTACGAATTCCATACACAAGCATTTTTTTAAAAATTCCCAAAACTTTCTATGATTAAAAAAAATCTTATATCATTTTAAGAATATACAGGGTGTCCCCAATTTAAATGTCAAAACTTTAGGAGCGTGTAGGGGACCGATAAACTAAGACAAAAAGTCCTGTAGAAATTTGCTCGTTTTTGCTTCGTTTTGAAGAAAATCGCAAAAAATGAAACAAATAATTTTCATCAAAAAACTTAAAACAACATTAAAATTATTAGACTTATCAAAAAGTATTATAAAATAAAAATTGTAGAACATGAGATTAAGAAAAGAGAGTGAGTTAAAATCCTCCTGAGATAAAATTAGATTATAAACAAAATTTCGCGTTGTCGCGTATTTATCTACAATCCTCTAATTTTACCTCAGGAGGATTTTAACTCACTCTCTTTTCTTAATTCCATGTTCTACAATTTTTATTTTATAATACTTTTTAATAAATCTAATAATTTTAGTGTTTTAAGTTTTTTGGTGAAAATTATTTGTTTTATTTTTTGCGATATTCTTCAAAACGAAGCAAAAACGAGCAAATCTCTAAAGGACTTTTTGTCTTAGTTTATCGGTCCTCTACACGCTCCTAAAGTTTTGACATTTAAATTGGGGACACCCTGTATATTGTGTCAAGTTATATACAAATTAAAATTAACAGTAAACATCTCCTTCCTTTTCAGTTTTCTTTAAATAAGTATACGTTGGATTTTTTAAATGAAATTTCGCACACTTTGTGTTCACTGGCGATTTGTTGCTTTATGGCACGTTTACGTTTACGGCACGTTTGACGATGAACAGACATCGACTTCGGTGTAGAAGAGGTGACATCCAAAGGTGGTGGTGGTGTTGGTAGTGCGGCTGTTCAGAACTCCTTTCAGCCCTCCACAGCCGCAGTTGAACGCGATCCGCAGTCTTCGACGGTCGTCCGTTCGTCCGTTGCGGTTTTCCGATCTCGCAATTTGTCGCGAATTTTCGTTAATCTTGATCGATATGTCACAGATATAGTTACCCTAATCAATAACAGGTGAACTTAATTTTATTAGTTAAATAAACTTATATATCGCCTAATTCCTTAAATAAATATAAATTTAATTAATTTGAATTTTCTAATTTATAAAAATATTTTTTTATTTAATTAAATTAATGTTTTATTCCTAATCCTTTAACAGATTATATCCCGAAGACGCGCTTTTCCAAATATTGATATAAATGCGAGATAAAATGGAATGAGAAAAAAATTCTATTTTGTTTTGATACAGTTCAAAATAATTCTTTGATTTTATTGGTGCACATTTAAATTTTTCAAAGTTCGTGAAGTGAGGAATGTTTCGAAGCAGTACGATCAAAGCGATTGGATATTTCATTACTGGAAGTCGTACACCGTGAAATGTTGGTAAGAATTGCGCAAAGTTTATTTATTCCAATTGCAATTCTTTATCTGCGACATTTATATAATCGAGTAACGAAGTGTGTATAAGTGTGTATATGAAAAAGATAATACCGATACCGATTTAATGTTGTCTTGATGTGTCATGTGGTGCGATAGGAATTCAGATCACGTGGTTTCTGATTAAACGCATCGTTTCCCGGTATGTAAACAAACTGTAGAAAATGATAATAAATTAACACTACGCAATAATTTTATGTTATGACATAATATTTGTCAATAATAATAATGAGATTCTTAAAATGCATTTTATATAAAATTATTGAAAATCTATGACATTTGAATAATTCTTTTTTTTGAATATTTTTAATAACATTTTATAGCGCAATTTTTTAATTTCTGATTTAAACCAAATTATTTGAGAATAAAGAATATATCGCTCATATTTTAGAATTTATTTAAATTATTTAAATTATAAATTATTTTAAATTATAAATAAATGAATTATAAATTATTTAAAATCATTTAGATTTACTAGAATTTAGTTAAATACAATATTTATATTTGTCAATTAATGTCTAAATTTTTCATATAACAGTGCAACTATTATGAAGTTAAATATTGTACAGAAATCAATATTAATAAGTGTTATTTTAGTTAATTTTTTAAATTTAATTAATTTTACTATATATATATTTTTTATTTTTAACTACAAATCTAGATTTTTATAATATTCTTGATTATCATATTCTTGATGTATATGTATGCTTTATTAAAATAAATACATTTTTTATTATTATATAAAGTCAAACGCAAGCTTTCTTATAATTATTTATTGTACAAATTATTATATTTCACGGACATTTGGTAATACATTTTTCATTAATCTCCTAAATATGGCAACACTCTTGAATACATATCACTTTCTGTTTTCTATGATCTTTTTCTTTGGAAAAGTACTCTTAGTTACAGGATGTAATTTCCTAAAGTGGATAAAACGTATCCTGTCCTTCGTCGAGATGTCAGATGCCCTTAATTATATCTTTCGTTGGCACTTCGTTACGCGCATCGAAATAAAAACGGCTTAAAAAAGCCGTTTACAAATAACGATAGCATCGACAGGAAGAGAGACTCCGGGATGTCACCTTTTTGTCTCAGAGGGCAAGATGTCCACGTTTCGCGCTGGCCGCCCTTAATTGGCTTTAATTAATGACCGGCTGTCATCAAGCCTGTATGACTCACGACGGCGTGCAACTCGAGCAGAATTCTCGCGTTATCGCCTTTTTACACGTCGTGTTAGACATTTGTTGAGATCCTCGCGACATACAGGCTATCTAATATATTTGATAATGCAACGGTTCCTGCGATAATTTTGGGTAACAATAAAATCGAGAGAGAAGTTATAATATAATTTCATTAGCCGATTATATCTAAATTTATTAGCTAATTCATTGTCTAGTCTCAATCTGTCTTGCATATAAAAGTACAATCTCTTTTTCAGTTAAAACATACATAAATATAAGAGCCAGTTTATACATGTTTATACAGCAAGTAAAAAATAGTAACAAAATTAAAACAATTAATTGGATTTTTTTTATTACATCTTGTAAATGACTATAATTTTGTGAGATGAATTTGTGTTTTAATTTATTCTGTATAATTTATACATTTCTCGTACTTGGATCTTTTACTTAAAATATTTATACATGATTCGCACTTTTTATTTTGCTCAAATTTTTTCCTTCTATATGTATGTGTGTGTGTGTGCGTATTAAAAATAATTATGTTTTAGCAAGTTAATTTTCCTTACATTTTAAACTCTTAACATAATTTAAAAATTAAGGAAAAATTAGAAAAAATTTTCGAGAGATATAAGTATAAATATAACAAAGCGATAAAATATAACAAAACTTTTTAAAGAACAAGGAGAAAGATTGTCGATTAAAAGAATGATCCCTTAACTATCTTAGTAAGACCTGTAGCAAGCACTGAAGAAAGTAATATTTCTAAGAAGTCAAATTCACACAATAGCAACGCCCACACGCGATCGCTTTTGCGGTGATGAAATCGTTTGTTTGGGCAATTAAATTCGATGGAATTGTGTTTTAATCCCTTCGAAATCGCTTGAGATTCTCTCTCTAAGCTGGGAAATATTCGTCTCGCAAAGTCAATCTAACGAAAACGAAACGGTTTGTCGCCGAGGGACGAGAGGGAGAGAACCCTCCTTGCGTCGAATTAAATCGCGACCAGCGGGGAATGAATCATCTATTCCCGAGGCGATCGATATCAAAGGTTTTTCGTGCCGGTATCTTTCCTCGTGCGCACTCTTAAATATTAAAACGATATCGAACCTGTTATGTATACCGAAAACAAATGTAACGATCAATTATACAATTGAAACGAGCGATCGAGCCATTTTATGCGCGATGCGATGATCAGGAGGGAACGAATTTTAATTTTCAAAATTAAAAAAAGAGGAAAATAAATAAATTTTTAATAAAGTGTAATTTATGCGTGACATAACATCGAAAGTTATACGGTATATAATCTTTATCACACACGTGAGAACGGCGTCGTCGCGTCCGCAGTATCTTTCGTACACTTCCGGTTGCGACAATCTCTTTATTGTGCTGCCCCGCTGAAATTCCGGACGGCAAAAGAGGCGCGTGTTGAATCTAGAATCGCCGTTTATCTTGGCTTTTTGTTTCATTCAAGATCGACATATGTGTGTAATCTTCGAAATATATGCATTGAAAAAAAAGATACTAGATCCAAGAACATTTTTTTTTATTAAAAGTAATTATTTATTTAAATATTTGCAAAGGATTTAGTTATTTCAATCAAGCAGCAAATGTATTTTAATTAATAAAATATAAAATAAAAGCAAAGTATGCTTTTATTGCAAATAAAAAAAAGAATTTGTTTTTTTTATCTTTATTATATAAAATTATTTCCTTTAAAAAAGCATATTTAAAATTTTTGGCTGCTTGTTTAAAAAACACAGGTCTTCTTCATTTTAATAAATAATTTTTTATTTTTAAATAAATATTTTTTGATATTAAGATTTTAAATAATTCATTTTAAAAATTATAATTTTTATTACATACAAATAATAATTTATGTAATATAACAAAACATTTTTGGAAATAAAGTAGATATTTATTTAAGTACAAAAAATCTAAATTAACAAAACATATTTATTTTTGTTTATATTATATTGAAAAAAATTTTATTTTCAGTATGGATATATAATATTTTCAATCTTATTATCGATGGAGACATTTATATCTAATTTGCTATTAATTATAAAATAATTCAAATTGTATTGATTTTTGCTAACGAACATCAAATTTATATTAAACTGACTGGAAGAATTATATCCTAAATATATAAGACTCGTAAGGAGAAAATAATTTTTTCATAGCATTGATTACATTTTCCTTGATGTGTGACAGTCTTTATTCTAATTTCAATAGAAATTATTTCTGCGAGAAGAGATCAAGACGAAAGTCGTCTATTGAGAAGAAAGCGATTCTCATCGAAGATGAGAAGTGAGGAGATGCTAGCATGATCGACATCGGCGCGATTAGTATCCTGACGCTCTATCACACCGATGATGAGTATGTCCTTGAACATGAGGTCCTCCGTAAGGACGCGCTCGCTGAAGCGAAGAAATTGGAGATATGTCCCGGTAAGAATACTTTTTTAAAATAACAAACAGCATAAATAATTTGAAATAATAAACAGCATACTATATGAATATTGTGAAACAGGATTTAATTTCTTGATAATTAGAATCTTATGTATGAGATACATAAGATTCTAATTATCAAGTTATTCTATTTGTAGAAATAGAACACATTAAGAAGTAATCTTGAGAGAGAAAAGCGTTTGGAAAGATCTAAAAAAATAATCGATCAAAACGAGTTCCTTGTGAATATAAAAATTAAAAATCTAATTAATTAATTTTGTGCAGAGTATATAATTTCTTCAATATATGTGTGAGTCCAGTTTTAAATATATTTTGGTGAGCTCTCATTTTTTGACCAATAAAATCTTCTTTTAAAATTTGATTAGATAGAATCTTTTTCCACAGAATTTCTTCATTTCTTTTGTAATAAATATCTCAATAATTAAGAGTTTTAAATAATAATTTTATCATGGTAGTTAATTTATATATTTAACGGAGAATTATAAAATTCTGCTATCTATTTGTATTCCTCAAGCTTAATTTGCGAAATGCTATTCAATTTTTACTCGCTTGTAACTTAAAAGTTATTAATTTTGACTAAGGGAAAGGCCAAATGTGTCAAAAAAATAAAAAAAAAAATTATTCCTAAAGTGAATTTTTTGATTGGCATTTTTAGTGCAGCTTTTATCAATTTGGCCCAGTTGCTAAAAGCATCGCATTAATTCTCTTGTTCGAATTCTACTGGCCGGTCTATAAAGCTTTCTTACACGTGATATACAGTAATGTATTTTTCTTCTCGCCAAGAATAACCGCTTTGATCCACCTAACCACGCGATTGACGTTTCGAAATATTTGTTCTGTTAATCCCACACTTTAGTCGGCGTGGACAAAAAAGGTACGCGTAAATAATTTTTGCCGAGAGGAATATGCTACTTTTTCAGTTTTAAGCATTGCTCGCTAATTTATTAATTTTTTTTGTTTACTAATTATTATAAATTTTGTTCAACAATTTAACTTTTTGCAGCGTGCTTATGTACGTTTTTACATGTATAAGATATACTCTCTCCATAATAAATAGTAATTAGATTAAATTAAATAATAATTGATCAGTGTGTGCGATTTAATTTTCTGAAATAAATTTTTAATTTTATCAACAAATCGCTTTTTTTAACAAACCGCTGTATAATTCAACGCAGCTTCAGTAGTCGTATAAAGATAGTTGCACTCTCATGCTCACAATTGTATTATTATTAATCGCTGATTGAGAATGACAAATTGACAACGAGAGCAGAAATGTTAAGTGTGTCATATATATTCTTTTATCGTTAGTGCATGAAAATTCGATTTTCCGGTCGCGGTTTCTTTGTCATATGTCTACAACACGTTTCATGAAAGCTGTTCACACTACTGTCATTATGATAATTTAAATGACCAAGGAAGTCGATGATTACTGTTTATAATTCGCGTTAATTTAAAACGAATTTAATACGATTTCAATTACATTCAATTATGTTAATTATTCATCAAACGGCTAAGAAAGTCAGTAATTATCACTTAATAGTGTCAACGTAAATTAGAAATTCTTGCTCAAGATAAAGTTTTCATTCTTGTAATTTAATTAGTGAGATCTTTTTATCAAATAGCGTATAAATGTAAAGAACACACGATTTGTCCATCGTGATTTAGCGCGAAGCAACGAAGCTTCAAAATCTCACGATCTCAAAAGTTATACAATGTATTCGTGATCGATGTCAATACGGGACACGGGATTGCGTTGCTATCATCGCGGGTAGATAACACGTTTCGCTTATGTACATCCGCGACACGATTTCAAAAAGGATTACATAAGAAGCCTCGAGAGAGAGAGACGCCAATTACCCTGAATTACAGATGCGGATCCGGCGCGATTGTCATGTATTTTAATTGCAGTAGTCGGCATCGAGGTTAATGAAATATAATTAAATGTAATCCTTAATTAATAAGCAGGAAAACGGTATCCCTCACTCGTGCCATCCTGCTCTTATCCTGATAGATTGTAGACAATAACGATACGTTACAATAGCGACCTTCTTTCAATTTTTCCAATTCTTTTTTCAATTATTCTTTCGTTCGTACATATTGTAAATAAAATTTTTATTTAATCAAATAAATATATTTTGTTAATTTTGATTTTTTTGTACTTAAATAAATATATACTTTGTTTCCAAAAATGTTTTGTTTTATTAAATAAATTATTAAAAAGATTTCATATTTGAAGATAAAAAATTATTTATTAAAATAAAGAAAACCTGCATTTTTGAAACAAGCAGCCAAAAATTAAAAGATGTTTTTTTAAAGGAAGTAATTTAATATAATAAAGATAAAAAAAAGAATTTTTTTTTATTTGCAAATAAAAGCATACTATGCTTTTATTTTATATTTTACTAATTCAAATATTTTTGCTGCTTGATTGAAATAACTAATTCCTTTGTAACTATATAAATAAATAATTTTTTTAAACAAAAAAAAATTTTTGGGGTTTACTTTGGATTTACTTGGGATTTAATACATTTTTTTCAGTGTAAGTTTTTGTATGTGTCTTGTTCAAAAATTTTCAATTTATATCGCCGATTATCTCTCATGGTCATAGAACCCATTCCGGGATGCAAGTCTTGCACCAACACCGAGATGACTTACTGCAAGGATGGAAGTGTCATCAACGATCACTGCTGTTGCGATGGCAGTTTCAACAGTAGGTATTCCAGTAGGTATATTACATATAAAACGTGTGCTTTTTTTAAATAAAATTGCGCTGGCATAATTTGCTGTGCGAAGAGCTATCGAAGCGGGACGGTGATCGAGATTGGCTTAGCCTTCTCACGGACGACGGAAGTCGCGTTTTCCGCTCTCGTCCTTCGTGTTTATTCGCGCGGACAATGGAAGTCGCGCGAAAAACAACGTTCGGTCCTCGAACGTCGTCGGCGAATTCGTGCGTGAACAATCGAGGGAACAACGCGCGTTGTGCAACGCGCTTCACGGAAATTTAGAACAACGACAATGATAGCGCGAGCGATTTATATACACAATGGTAAATCGCGCGATTCCGCGTAACCGCAATTATTTTTAGTCGATGCATTACTACGTGCCGTTACGGTTCGAACCGCGTGTTAACTCTCGGAATAACCGTGGAATCGACAAAATGTTTATTTATGTCAGGATATTCTACCTACAGCTTTCTAGCGAAAGTATCTTTGGAAAAACTTGCAAATTACCTGGCTTAAATGCTCTAGCAAAATTTATGCAGTGACACGAAATGCACTTAATTGTTGGCAGAAATTGTGTCAACACATAAATGTATATTTAACTATGAGCCAAAAAATTTTGTTGCAGGCTATATGGGACTTTCTTTATAAAAAGAATTTTGTTAAAATTAAAAAATGTATATAAGATAACGATCTCTTATTATTTTTATAAGGACTCTTAATATTTTACTTTGTAAAGTTGTAATTTTTTTATCGAAAATTCAAACAAAAAAAAATATTAAATAATATTTCAAACATATACAAATTGATAAAAACATATAAAAAGAAATAAATTAGATAAAATTAATTACTGATTAATTAAACAATAAAAAATATTAATATTAATTCCTAATTATCAAACTTGACTTATTACGAGCAATTTAAATTGCGAATAATCGTAAGCTTTTTTAATGGTGGGTATTTAGAATTAAATATTGCTCAATCGTCATTTGTATTTTTCGACGCAGAGATCACACTTCGTGATTCTTATACGCGAAGATAACTGATGACGTTTCCTCTCCAGCTGGAAGGTCAATCACCTGTTTAGGAAATCATCGCTCGTCGTAATGAGTTATCCTTGTCTTCTACACGTGCGTTAATGCGTTAATAGTAGAATCTAGCTGGTGATGCACTCGTACGAGTCGTCGAGTGAATCGCTCGAAACAATCAGCGCGTTTCTCGAACACCTTGTACAAGTATTGTCCATTGACCCGCGGCACCTTTGCACGAATTTTTAATTACATATGTAGCACGCTATTCGGTATTCAATACAACAAGTATCAATATATGTAAATCCGATAACGAAGACGCGATATCAATTTGTAATATTTGACACAAGTTCTTAGAAGAATTAAAGATATATATATATATATAAGAATTATATCACAAATTGCAATTAAATATTTTGTTCTATTTCGTGCTTTTGAATTTGTAATAATTAATCCTAAAATGTGACATTTGCGAGATGATGCACTTTTTGATTCTTTGATCTGTTTTTTTTTGTTATCTATAAATATAAAAAAGCATGAATACTCTTGAAAATTTCCATGGATTATCATATATTATCTTTAAAGACAAAAAAAAGGGAGAGAGTGACACCATCCTTGGATTAAAGGTGAAACACTAAGAGAAATGCTAGGAAATTATTTACATTTTTGTTTGCTCTTTATTCAAGACGCTAAATCCACTGTCATTTCGCGTGTAGGTTCTCGGTGATGCATAGAGTTGCATTGCCACACGTAGTGCACGTGGTTACGCACGTGGAATATTTAATTTCCGAATCACTTTTCGATCACGCCCGCGTGAATCATCCGTTCTGCACTTTTTCCTAATCGCCTGTGGCGATTAGAAACAGGTTATATTTCAAAATTGTTCTGATTCGATCAGTTTCTTCTTGCCTCTGTGCATATTTTGAAAAATCGAGATCGAGAGATATTTGACCATTCGCATGTTATCTTTTCCGGAAACGATAGTGCCGCCGGAAACCCTCGGTATCTCGGGGATTGATTCTCATCCCACGTACAAAACCGGTTAATTATCGCGATGCCTACATTTGACGCTTTACACGTACGTAGGTATTCGCAAGTGTGTCGAGATACGCGTAGAATTATTTTTTATGCTTTATCAAAATCATATTTCCTTTATCTTCCTCCATTACAATTTAACAACTCAAATAATGAAATATATAATCAATTCTTTTCCTAATAATTTTCATATTAAATTAATCAAAAAGAATAATAGACACTAAATTTTAAATTAATTTAGGATTATTCTTAATAATTCAAGAAATATATAAATAAAAAAACAGGTAAATACGTTTCATAAAATGATTGATTATTATATTTTATTTTAAAAATAAATGATTAATATATAAATTTTAAAAAGCTGAGAAAATAAGTATTAAAGGAAAACTCGGCTTGCTTGCCAAGTGTGATCTTCCTGTTCACATATTTATTTATCTTTCTATTGTGTTTCAGAAGTGTTTCCATTCGTCGAGCACACTTGTCGCGTGGGACCAGAGGAATGCAAAGTGCAGGCTGGAGACTGCGCCGAATATACGAGACTGCGAGAATGTTGTTGCCATTCGTACTTGGCCTCCGTCTGTAAGTATATTGGTATTTATCTAGACTCTAGACATAAAACACATAATTTTTAAATATATATATTTATTTATTTATTTA